TATTATTAATGCTCATGGAAGTGTGGATTTCTTTGACTAAACGATTAATCTTTGAATTAAGGACATCTAATAAATCTGTTGATTTTTTTTTCCCTAAAAAAGAAATAATGAGTGAATTGATTAAATGTATCTCATATTCATGGATAATTAAGATCTATCTATATCTGTGTTTATCTATCTGATCTATTTGTCTATCTATCTGTTTATCTATCTCTATCTATCTGTATCTATCTATCTATCTATTTGTCTATCTATTATCTATCTATTTGTCTATCTATCTGTTTATCTATCTATCTATCTATCTGTTTATCTATCTATTTGTCTATCTATCTGTTTATCTATCTATTTGTCTATCTATCTAATCTATCTATCTCTGTCTATCTATCTATCTGTTTATCTATCTATTTGTCTATCTATCTGTTTATCTATCTATTTGTCTATCTATCTGTTTATCTATCTATTTGTCTATCTATCTGTCTATCTATCTGTTTATCTATCTATTTGTCTATCTATCTATCTATCTATCTATCTGTATCTATCTATTCGTCTATATCTATCTATCTATCTGTTTATCTATCTATTCTTATCTAATCAAATCTCTTCTTCAAATACCTTCAAAAGAGGAATAAGTTCATGGTTTGTGCAGAAACTTTTGGCTGGTTCGTCACAGGTTCTGCACCACAGATCCTCCTCCAGGTTCTCTACGGTAGGGGGCGCTGACGGCGACACGGTGCCCTGGCTGGGGACCACAGGGGACGTCGGGACAGAGAGAGGTCGTGGGCGGGGGTCGTCGGAGTCGTCAAAGAAACGCGAAAGAGTTGGATAAATCGGGTGTTGTTTGTTTTGAGGAGGGACTGAAGGAGGGGAGGTAGGAAGAGGGTAGGGAGTGGGATATGGAGGAGCGCAAAGAGGGAGAGGAGGGAGAGAAGAAGATGGAGGAGGGTAAGCAGGTGGTGGGGGTGGAGAAGGATAGGCAGGTGGAGGAGGGTAAGAGGAAGTTGGAGAAGGGTAAGAGAAGTGTTGAGAAGGGTAAGAGGAAGTTGGAGGAAGGGTAAGAGGAAGAGGTAAGAGGACGTTGGAGAAGGTTGGAGAAGGGTAAGAGGAAGTTGGAGAAGGATAGGCTGGTGGAGGAGGGCAAGAGGAAGGTGGAGAAGGGTAAGGTGGAGAAAGAAGAGGTCGAGAGGGGTGTGCAGGCGGCGGAGGGCTCTTCTGAGGTCCGCCGAAAGGGAAAGGTCGTGGTGGCTTTGCGACGATGCCTGCAGCAGGAGGTGTTCGCTCTCCTTCGCCAGCCGTAGAAGGAGGCAGAGGCGCGGAGGTTCGGCGAACACCCCTAGGCTCTAACTGAGGAGGAGGTGTTCTCAGAGGCGGAGAAGGGGGTGGATTCCTTGGAGGAGGAGGAGGCGTAGGCCGTCGGGGGAGAGGAGGAGCAGGGGCCAAGCGAGGAGGGTGTTGCTGCTTCACAGGAAACACAGGAACACCCATTGCCTTCACTCTGTCCGTCCCTGTACCTGCTGCAGTCTTGTGTTGCGTCTCTCCGTTGGGCAAACCTCCCAGGCGGATGAGGTGACGGAGATGAGCTACGATATACCTTGTAAGACGAGGATTACACTGTTTAAAACAACTTCGAAGTCGCATACGCACACTGTCGCACGCAAGTTCAGTTTAAAAATATGTTCTAATATACGTATTTTTTGCCAGGTTCGGACTCTACATCATCCAAATCTTTTCAGTTCTTCAAAAATGCAAACAAGTGATAACAGATAAATGGATTAGATGAATAAATAAACAGAGATGATGATAATTGCAAATCAATAAATAAATTATGAAAAAACGAATATTCAAAAAGTCGAACAAAGAATCGTATCCAAACAACAATCACTCAAAACCTCAAACCTCAGAACCTCACCTATTCGTCTGCATCTTCTCCGTCAGAATCTCCTCCCGACAGAGAGGACACGTGACCTTCCGACCTCTCGGGATCTCAGGCTCACTCGCCCCTCGATGCTGACCCTCGAGGCCCAGGAGGTCGAGAATGCAACTCACGCAGACGGTGTGAAGACAAGACATCATCTTCGGGACACGGGCGTTGTCGTCGTACTGCTCGAAGCAAACCGGGCAGTCGAGACTCTCCTGTAGGCGAAGGAACGTGCTCTTGGTTAGCAGTTTAGGAGAGGAATTGCTCCTTTTGTAGGCCTTGTTAAGCATAGTCTTAGGGATTGTGTAGGCCTTGTTAATAGTCTAATTGATTATAGTCACATTGATTGCTCTTTTTGTAGGCTTTGTTAAGCATAAGATTTGATTAAAATATTGATGACTTTACATAAGAAAAATGACGATCGAATTTCCATGTGCTTATGAATTAATTGTAGCGTTAAAAAAAGAAAAGAGAGAAAGAGAGAGAGGGGGGAGAAAGAGAGAGAGAAAGGGAGAGAGAGAGAGAGAGAGAGAGAGAGAGAGAGAGAGAGAGAGAGAGAGAGAGAGAGAGAGAGAGAGAGAGAGA